GGGATAATTACTCCAGCCACAACAGGTTAGGCATTTTAGAACTCACTACTCAAAGAATTACATTTACACGTAAGAGAGAAATCAAAACTATGAAATGCACAGACCAGTCAAAAAGCAAACATAACACAATTTTCAAGCAGTAAAAGAAGTAACAACAACCCTCTACATGTGTGTTGGGCTGGGAAATGAGTGAAGGAGAGTATGTATGTGAGAGAATGACACACACACACACAGGGTGTGAGCGTGACAGAGATTTGCATTGCCAACCTCCCTCCATCCCCTTCTCTCTGTGAGAAAATAGGGTACAGAAGTGGAGGGAGGAGGGACACCCTGACATCAGCACCTCCCCCTTCTCCCTCCCACACTCTGCACAGCAAGCAGGAAGCTCCCAGGGGGACAGCTCCAAGGCAGAGGGCAGGAACGTCATGACAGTGGGTGAAGGGGCAACTGAAGTGCCAGTGCTTGATAGCTCCCTGGCCAAACCAGTCAGGATCACCTGTCAGAGGATCCAAGATCTACTGGTAGATCCCAATCTACTGGTTGGTGACCACTGCCCTAAGCTAATGTATGAGTGGTTCCCTGTAAATTAGGAAAAGCTACTATGGGCTAATTGAAGTACCTATAGCCATGTTTTCTCAGGAATCTACTGTAATACAGCAGCCTAATAAAGGTGTGGATCCCCGTAGGCCATCTGAAGAACCTGTAGCCAATTAGGGCCTGTTAGGAGCCTAATTAAACCTCCCTGCTTCAGGCAGACAGGGAAGAGTGAGGAAGGAAAAAGACCAGAGAATTGGCAAAAGGGAGACTCCCTTCCCCCATATCAAGGGCCAAGGATAATCCTACTCAAGCGAAAGAGATTCAGAAACCCACAGAAACTGAGAGGGGCTGGGGCTCAGAAGTGGGGCCCGTCACATCCCAAGAATGGCGATGTCTTTGTCCCCACCAACAAAAGCATAGGACCCACTACTCAAACATTTTCCCCTTTCCAACAATACCATCATAAAACTGTCCACATTGGAGCAAAACACTTCCTGGGCTTTAACTGCTACTTTGCATAGCCTCTAGATGGAACAAACATGAGCAACAACACGGTTGCAGTAACTAGCATACATGCTGGAAAACAAGTGGACATGATTTTATTCCTGACCAGCCGTTTGCTAGTGGTTGTTACTCATACTAAACTGGTAATGAGTATGGATCTCTGGATCCCATTCCCACTTTCCCACCCAATGGAAGCTACACTCCATCCTTTCCTTGATACCTGCTGGTTCAGTGAGCTGAGACTCAAATTCATTTCCACACCATTAGGAACAATATGGGTACTCAACAACCCATACCTTGACTATATTACTTTTGCAGTTTCCTCTCACACTTGCCTTTTAGCTCATTTGTCAATAGTCCATATTTCCGTGAACCTACACTGCTGGACAAGACAGCTGTTAGACTGCTAGGATGAATATCATGTGTCTCTTCTACACATTGGTGATACTTCTAGACTACAGGCTTTTGTCGACAGAGGCTTTGTTGACAGATACTGTCGACAAAGCTTCTGTCGACAAAGAGCGTCTGGACTGCATCCAGTTCTGTCGACAAAGCAAGCAGCTTTGTTGACATGAGAGTGTAGATGCAAAGGACAGTGTAGATGCAATATCGCCTTCTGTCGACAGAACTCTGTCAACAAAAGGCGTTATTCCTTGTAGAATGAGGTTTACCACCGTCAACAAAACTGCCAAGTTCTTTCGATATTATGTCGACAGAACTTGGCAGTAGTGTAGACCCAGGTATAGTTTTGTCGACAAAAGTCCACTTTTGTCAACAAAACTCTGTAGTCTAGATACCCTGGGAGTGCAGCTAACTAGGCTATTGCAGTGGATGATCTCAGCTCACTGCCTAGTGGCCAGTATAAACAGCTATATTCATTACCAAAGTGCAAACAAAGGGCCAATCCAGAGGGTTGTTGAGCTCACTCAACTTCCACTGGATTTTCAAAACAAAGGGCACAGCTACAGAGAGGATGGGGCCCACAGCTAGCACTTCAATGGATAATGACTCATGATACTACCCAAAAGATGATTTAACTGGACATGTAAGACGTGGCTTATATTATAATAATACTTAGCTGTTACATGGCACTTTTCTTCTGTAGGTCTCAAAATGCTGTACAAAGGACATAAGCATCATTAACTCCATTTTAGAGATGGGAAAACTGAAGCACTGGAAGTGGGGTGATTTGCCCAATGTCACCGAGGGGCAGATTGGAAATAGAATGTCTAAGATTTAGTTCGGCAGGCTGGATCCAAAAGGCTGATGGGTCAGATCCAGCCCAGAGGCCATTTTTTGTCCACCCTTGATCTACACAGTACGGCTGTGTCTAGACTGGCAAGTTTTCCACAAAATCATCTGTTTTTGCAGAAAAACTTGCCAGCTGTCTATACTGGCCGCTTGAATTTCCGCAAAAGCACTGACGATCTCATGTAAGATTGTCAGTGCTTTTGCGGAAATACTATGCTGCTCCCGTTTGGGCAAAAGTCTTTTTCCGAAAAAATTTTGCGCAAAAGGGCCAGTGTAGACAGCAGAGATTTGTTTTCTGCAAAAAAGCCCCAATCACGAAAATGGCGATCGGGGCTTTTTTGCAGAAAAGCATGTCTAGATTGGCCACGGACGCTTTTCCGCAAAAAGTGCTTTTTTAACGGAAAACTTTTCCGTTACAAGCATTTCCGGAAAATCATGCCAGTGTATACGTAGCCTACATGTTTTCAGGCCAACTACTCTACAGAAAATAACTTTTAAAAAATGGGTCAGAATCTCCCCAAAGTTCTCATCACACTGTAGTGCTGGAAAGTTGCTGGCTATCCCTAGTTAATGATTCATTTGGTGTGGGTCTAGTCTGTGGTAGAGCTGGTATAACGAGCTGCTATGGTATTGTCCTTGCAACCTGCCTTTGGAGACACAGAAAGGGTGAGATTGGCACAGCCAGAGTACCAATATGCTCCAGTGATCCTTTACACATGAATGATTCTATTGGGGGCATAAGCTGTTGGTGTATTATAAGGTGAGCCTCAGGATAAGGGAACTGCAATAGGCTACTCTACCCCCCTGTAGTCTCAGGCTACGTCTAGACTGTCATGATTTTCCGGTAATGGTTTTAACGGAAAAGTTTTCCTTTAAAAGCATTTTCGGAAAAGAGCATCTAGATTGGCACGGACGCTTTTCCGCAAAAGCACTTTTTGCAGAAAAGCGTCCGTGCCACTCTAGACGCGCTTTTCCGCAAAAAAGCCCCAATCGCCATTTTTGCGATCAGGGCTTTTTTGCAGAAAACAAAGCTGAGCTGTCTATACTGGCCCTTTTGCGCAAAAGGACTTTTGCCCGAACGGGAGCAGCATAGTATTTCCGCAAGAACACTGACAATCGTACATGAGATCGTCAGTGCTTTTGCGGACATTCAAGTGGCCAGTGTAGGCAGCTGGCAAGTTTTTCCGGAAAAGTGGCTGATTTTCCAAAAAACCTGGCCAGTCTAGACACAGCCGCAATGTTGAGGTTTTGTTTTTCACACTTGGAAAGATGACAGATAAATTTGGAGAGAGAAAATTTCTGAGTCAAAGATCAGACACACATTGTAATAATTGTTTTCTTAAACCCAGAGTTTCCATGATATTTTATACTGGATAAAGGCATAAATATCTCATTTCCTTATAAAAGGCTATTTAAGCGTACATACTGATTTTACCCTCCCTGTTTTGGAAATGGAAAAAAACAAAAGCACAAATTCATCTTTATATATCTTTATGACAGAAGCATTAATTCAGAGCTCAGATGCATAGACATTTTATTTGAAAGTACACCAACAGAAATATTGCTTTGTACATACTTCCACTTCTGGTTTCAAATGCCATATTCATCTGTGAAATTCATTTAGACTGGAAGTCATCCCATTTTACAGATTACTACAATCTATGAAATGTGTCTCAAAGAGAAACTACATCTACATCTTAGAGAGCAATGCTCAGGATCATCTGAAACAAGATGTTTTTGCAGCTCCAGCTATAAGTGGATGTATGCTTTCTGTATTTCCTTTAAAGGCATGGCTGAGTACTAAATGAAAATACTTTCTTCTACATAACCACCTTGGATCATTTGGTGCTGCCAAATTAGATTTTATCCCATCTCTTCACCATAATTTCCATGTCAGAATATTTGAAGTGTTAGATGCTGTACACTGGCCATGAAAGGAGGACTATGAAGGAGAAAATTTGCACTGACATTCAAATATCTTGATGATCAGCAGTGACTGAATGTGCCTGATATGCATGAAACATAAAAAACACAAATCAGAGTGTTCTTGTAATGTATAAAGTTACCAAATCACAGTATTATCGATCTGAGGTACTTCTATAATCCCCTGTCATGGTAATAGCCGAGCAGCTCACAATCTTAACTCGACAGCTCTAAGAGGAAGTGAAGTGTTGTTATCCCCATCTAACAGATAGGGAACTAAGGCCCAGACTAACTCATCCAAGCCACACAAGCTGTTTGAGGTGACACCATAGCTCACATCTTAGGCTAATGCTCAACTCTCCGTACCATTTTTCCTTCATACATATTTTTATATTGTAGTTATTACATGAGTTACTTTGTTGAATTTTGTTGCAGAATACCATGAAAACTATGGCATAGACTAGACATAGTCCTGAGCTGCAGAGTCTCATTCTAGACTGAGAGGAGGGAGTTGATTCAGTCAATTGCTGGAAATGGCATCAGGCTGAGGAGTTGGGACTTCTTAACTTTCCATGTTATTTGGGTGTTTTAATCTCAGGCCCAGCACTAGCCTGAATTTACCAGAGCTCAGAGAGTAGCCTCATTACAGCAATGGGGTTCCTACTTCATTTTTGAAGCACAAATCACCATATAAAATATAATAAGTGCAAAGGCTAGAAACTGAATTATTAGGTATATGCTCTGAGATAGCACTGGCCTCCAGACGCTGGTGCCTTTAGCATCTCACATCAACTGGTATGGAACCTCTTTCCTGAGTTTACTGTTCAGAAGTAACCCAAGAAGAGTGAAAACAGCAGCTGCAAGCACCACAATCATAACAATAAATGGAGTCTGGAAATGATCAGCAGTAGCAGTAAGTGAACGGTGGGAATCCATGCGTTCCTGATGTTCAGAATTGTCCAGCCCTGTGAATGAAGAGAGAGAGGTTGTTATATTCTATACTCTGTTCTAGTTATGGCCAAAGGTCTCAGGATAAGAGAACTTACATTTAAAATGTTACATTCAAGACCAAGTCAGTAAATAAATCAATTTCACTCTTTTACACACATGTCATTGTGAACATCAATCCATCTTTGTATTAGTAAAGACAATTTCATGAACTACAGCAGGGTCATTTTAGGTTCAATACTAAGAAAATATAACTAGTAGAAGAGTTAGGGAGTGGATCAATTTTTCAAGGATGGTTGAGGATTCACTTTATTGGAGACTTTAAAGACTAGACATGCCAATCACAATGATTGAACAAATGGTGATAATTAAATCAATGAAGCTATGATAAGGAGATGGATTGCATCACCTCTTTCTTCCTAAATAAATGATTCAGTTAGCATTTTTGAGCTCTGCAGATTAAAATGATCAATCTAGAAATGTATGAAATAATGAGCTAACCTAGATGATATTAGTCAATACACAGACTCCTGATGTTTATAGTGGAGCCATCGATAATAAAATATCAAATGCAAACAGACATGCACAGATTTTGTGAACTGAAAAGTGATTTACAGACACTTATACTAACACATGAGATTATTTGCATTTACCAGCATTCCTGTTCTGGATACCATCTTTCTGAAGCTGAATTGGCCCAACAACAACATCCACCTTTTCTTGGTGAGAGCTTGTATCTCTCTTGGACCTGGGTACACAGCCCTGGTAGCATCGGGAAGAATAATCATATATCTGGCACACCACCATTTTACACTGCAGATAAACTGATGAATGTTTGTTAAGAAATCTGAAGGCATTGAATTTGAACCGTATGGTGGAGCTGTAAGGTGAATAGTATGTATTGTAGGTAGGATCTCTAATGCACCTACAATAAAGAAAGAAAGAAAATTAATCTTTATGCCCCAAAAATAAATTGCTGATATCAAGCATGCCGTATATACAAAGATCCGAATAATTTAACAATGCATTAACAACAGGAAGGGAGAAAAATATGTATTTATAGTAAGACTAGAAAATGAAAGATTTTAAAATAGTAGCAGCGACTTGTCTGAAAGCAAAACATGCAATATTCTTTTTCCTAATTCAGCTAAAATTGTATGTACATGCCTAAGGGTGTGAGTTGTTTTATTGAAATCACATGCTTGAAGTTAACTTTGTGCAGTCTTTTTGTACGATCAGGGCTCAGGACAGTCAAGTTGCAAAGGAGTCACCAAGAAACCATTAATCGATGGAAAGAGCCCAGAGCTGCTTATTTATATCTCTAGGGCTATATCTAGACTACACAGTTTTGTGGGAAAAATAGCCATTTTTCCAACAAAGCTTGAGTTACGTCCACACTGCAAGCGCATTCTTTCGACAGTAAATTGAAAGAACAGAGGGCTTTTTGCGCAATTAGTAATCTTCATTCTATGAGGAAGAAGCCTTTTTGTGAAAGAGCTCTTAAAATTAAAATTCAGTGTCACTTGCAAAACATACATTTGAATCAAGCATTGAAATACAGTACAAAATTTGGACAACACAAAGAATGAATATTTAAAAAACACAATATTTTGAAAATACACAGTTGAATTCTATAGGCAATCTATTTGAGGCTGAATTCAATCTTGATGTAGGAAGGCAAAAATTCATTAATCTCAATGGAGTTTGTGATAAAACCTGCTTACATCATAACAGAATTCACCTCCCTAGTTACTACATAACAGGTTTGAGTGTAATCACTCTTTCATGATTGCATGGCCTTAACATCATTTCTATTGCTATGACTCATTTCTTGACAAGATTGGCCAAAACAGTTCTTTTAAGTTTATTGATACGGGGAAGTGAAATCAATTTGCATTGTCCCTCTTCAGATTATTCTGTACAGAACAGATACAGAATTGCATGCACAGATTTATTGTAAGCCATTGTTGAGAAAGTCCTTACCCACTCCTGATGATATCATAGGTTATTGTTGTAAAATCATTGGGATCAGGTGATGCAATACAAGTGTCCAAAAACAACACCAGATTTCGGTCAGAGCTGTGAATTGAAGCTTGAAGGAATAAATTCTGGTTCAGCTCAACGTAGTACGGAGACTCATACACTGGCCGTGAGAAGGACGATGATTCGTAAAATGACATGTTCACATCATATCTACTGTACTGCGTTTCATTGACCTCCTTAGCATCCCTAGCAACATACATTATTTCTTTCCATGTGTTTTGGAGCATTTTACAGATGATGTGCAAGTGAAGATCTTTTTGCCTTTTGATTATATAACCAGAAGAAGTTGCTTTGATCAAGTTGGAATACATGATAGTATTGTTGTTCCCCTGTATGGCACATTAAATATTGAATTATCTAATACAGTCACATGTTTCCTGAGACCACAATTACCATGATATTTACTAAGCTTTTGGTGAACCGATAGAACAATATACATTTTAAAAGCATCCCCGGAAGTATTTTCAGATAAATGTGACTTTGATCCTTTCTGTCCACAAGACATTTAAAAGAACATTGTAGGCTGTGGGATACTGTGATTACACTGAGATGTGAAAAATATTTTCATTTAACCCAAATACAGGCAAGCTGTTTAACATTAGTACAAAGTTTGACTATGAAATGCACTAAGGTCCTGATTCAGTAAGGGTACGTCTACACTGCATACTTATTTCAAAATAAGATATTCAGGAAGAAATAGTCCAAAATAGCTTATTTTGAAGTAGCGCATCTACACTGCAGGGAAGCCTCAAAATAAGTCTGAGGCAGCCTTCCCTAATGTGGATGCACTACCTCAATTTAGAGCCCCAGGAGGTACTTGGGAGTAATTAGTTTGAATGGCCCTGGAAGGGAGCTGTTTTGAAACAGTCGAGTGTCCGCACTACTGCTATTCTGAAATAGCTATTTCTGAATGGCATTATTCCTTGTGGAATGAGATTTACAGAAGTAGGAATAAGTTGTCCGTTATTTTGAATTTATTTCAAAGTAACAGAATTGCTGTGTAGATGCTCTTATTGGTATTTCAGAACAATGACTGTTATTCCAAAATAATGCTGCTGTGTAGATACACCCTAAGGTGTTTAATCTTGTATCGAACTTAATGCACATGAGAAGTGCTACTGAAGTGAATACTTTACTGAAGCATAAATTTTATTACTGTTCAAGAACATCAGCTCATGATGGGAAAAAAATCTGTCAACATTGATTGAGGTTGTTCATATATCTGCCCTGGCCCAAAATATTCCCCATAAAATCAAGCTACAACAATTGAGGTGTTCCCTGCAGAAAGGGGAAGGAGTGGTTACCGCATCTGACACTGCAGTCATTAGTTCACTTATAACTCCTGTGAATCACAGAGCAGGTTTCTGTTCATGACCCTTTTCAACATGAATTGTGTAGTTTTGCACAGACCTGTATTCAAACTACTTGCTAAATATTCAACTTCATACCTCTCGCCTTGTGCCACAGCCATTGTATGGTATGTTGAATGTAATATAGCTTGTTGTAATCTTTGGTTTACAAAAAGGATCATTCAAGCTGACATTCTCTGAAGCATAGCCTTGTGATTGAAGATAGGCTCTGTTAACAACTGCGTGCATGTATTCTGGCATGCACTGAAGAGCTGGTGGTTGGATAAAACACATATTATGAGTGATTCAGGCATATAAAAATTAAATGTTGTTACTAATATATATGCTGCTACCTATTCTGTGTGTATGATGGGGCTCAGGAGAAGGTGTTCATAAGCCATACCACAATATTTCACCTCTCTTCTGTCTTAATTATCAATTTATGCACCAGGGGCTTCTGGTTTAGGCTGTGGGTTACTATCACTAAGAAAACCTGCAAATTATTTGGATTATTTTGATTAGAGAGAGTCCATCATCAGTGATAAGGATCATGCATTGCATCAAAGTGATAGTGATTCAATAGGGACTGGATTCTGTATAGTCTCTTAGTAAGCAAAAGGCACATTGAAAAGGAGTTTCATTTGAATGAGGACTTAAAGATCAGACTTTGAAAGGCTGTGAAAGGAGTTCAAGATCATATGAGGGGACCTCTGAAGCAAAAGATATGGACACATTGCAGAAGATTCAGAGAAGAGCACTAAAAACTGGGAAAGTGCAAGGAATGAATCTAGAGGTAAATAATTCTAATACTGAACATGTATCAGTGAAGAGCTAAATACCACTGAGCACCGATAAATAATAACTAATGAGTTGAGGGGAGAACATGAAATTGACTCATATTGTATGAAGAGGGGTGATTTCAATGAGAATTTTGTCTGTGTCAGAGCTAGGATCAGACCAAAAAATAATCATTAAATTGTACAAGGGACCATAAGTAAGAGTACTGAGATGAGGTGATGAAAAAGTAGATTTAGGCTGACTATCAGAAAAAATGTCCAAAAATAATTTGATAATAGAAATGAATAGCTTTCTATTTAAACAAAATCAAACTATTATCTGAAACCAAAAGGCCAATGAACACACACTGTGAAAGATGACAGTGAGTGGTATTATACCGAGGTGGTTGAACATTAATCAGTGGTTATTTAACAAATAACAAAATAGACTTGTCTGCTGGAAAGCAAAGTTCTGTATTAAAAATGAACTTACTAGTATCCTGATTTGCTGAAATGATGTAGTAGTCAGCGCGAAACCCTCTGTTTGTGACACTCGAGTCACTGTGAAATCGAACTGTCATCAAGTTTGAGGATGATGTATATGTGAGATAGGAGCCATAACAAATTTTCCCCAATAAAGGAGAAGTGTAGAGTGGTCCATCATATATCTCAATATAATCATATTGGCAGTTACCACCTTCTGTCCTAGGGAATAAACATGAGTATTTTGTAAACTATTTTGTAAACTCCTATTTACGTATTCATCACAAAGCAACACAGAAATCTCAGATTAAACCCTTCAGACTGCAAGGTGTTTGTGACAGAGTCTTCATTGCACATCTTGTGTGGTACCAGCCACTTTGTTAGGACTCAACAAGTAACAACAAATACTACTCCATTCATGCAATTTTCATTTTAGGTTTACCCATTACTTAGAACTGTTAAACCCTGCTGAGAAATGTTATTCAAATGCAAAGGGTACCAATCTGAAAACATGACTATGAACCCATGAACTGTCCATGAAACTAGTGATTTACTTACGAGATCTGGCTAAACGAAAGTGTTACACGGTAATTGTTCTCTGCTTCTATTTCCCACACACAATCTGCATTGTTTGGATAATTTCCAGGATAGAACGGGCTATGAAATGACCCAGATGAATATTGAAGGACACCACCACAAGTATATCTTGCTGCTGAATAAAATGTCAGAAGAAAAAATACATATGAGCCTTTTATATTTACTTTTGCATATATTTGTGTATGATATAAGGGGCAGGGATAAAATCTATTGAAGATTTAAAAAAACTCATTAGAAAAACATTGGATCTTGAGAGCAGCAGATCACACTCAGTCTGATTTAGTTCTCAGCACCTCTTAAGATTGGGCATTAAATGGATAGAGCTAAAAGCAGAAACCATGGGCCAAACAAAATGTTCAGGGAAAAAATATTATGATTTTTTTCCTTTGATTATGTTATGTTCATAATACATGTTAGAAATAAGTTTTTGAAAAATGATCTGGTACACTGGAGACAAAAAGTACAGTCTGAATGAAAATAGCATCAGCAATCAACTTTGGAACATCACCATTTTTACTTAATGCAGAGCTTTAAATGACATAGGGTACGTCTACACTTGCTCCCTAGTTTGAACTAGGGATGTAAATGTAGGTGACTGAAATTGCTAATGAAGCGGGGATTTAAATATCCCGTGCTTCATTAGCATGATCTCGCTGGCACATTATTCACAAAATAAGGAGTAATGTTAGTTCGAACCAAAGGGTTTGGTTCCTACTAACACATCTTGGTGCGCACTTTCACTTTTGAAACAGCTGTTGAGCAGAGTAACGTGCTGGATAGATCATGCTAATGAAGCATGGGATATTTAAATCCCAGCTTCATTAGCAATTTCGGTCACCTACATTTGCATCCCTAGTTCGAACTAGGGAGTAAGTGTAGACGTACCCATGCAGCTAATACAGTCCATCTCAATTTTGTCCCTGGGGAACACACAAAAAGGAGAAGAGCTAGAAAAGTCATTATTTTAAGGAGGGATACACACACACACACACACACACACACACATACACATATAAAAAAAACAGGATTTGATTTTTGTTCCCATGAAGAATGAAAACAAATTTTAGATCCTCAGAATTATTTTCCAGACCAGAATTCTTGTTTTGCAGTCACAGACTCTTGACAAAAGGGTAAGCACTGAACAGGAAGCAAAAATGAAGGAAGCATGGTATAATGGAAATGGCATGGAGACTGGTCTCTGGTCTACACGAGGAATTTATTTCAAAATAACCACCCTCCACAAAGGCTGAATTTATAAGTGAAGCATCCATACTACCAAGCCCGTTATTTTGAAATAATGGGCCATGGAATTCAAAATCTGTACTCCTGCTTTTCATCAGGAATAACGCTAATTCCAAAATAGTTATTTCAAAATAATGGTAATGTGGATGCTCTGGTGCCACTATTTTGAAATAATTACTCCACAGAGTAATTTGAACTAATTACTCCCCAATGCTTCCTGGGACTCTAAGTCTGAGGTAGTGCATCCACATTAACAGAGCCTGCGTCGAACTAATTTCAAGGCTTCCCCATAGTATGGACTCACTAGTTCAAATTTGTGAAATCAGGAATTATTAAGGCAAATTTATTAATTTTGAAATAGTTTTGTAGTGTAGACATGGCCTGGGAGTCAAATATCTTGTTTTTATTCCCCACTCTGCACTCATGTAATTTAGCAACATAATCATATCACATGCCAATAGCTGTATATGGTGACTGACATACATGTTCTCCTCTCTTCCTCAGAATCACAGGGGGCGCATGCAATTGTGACAGGGGTTAGGAGGATGGCAGAACACAAGCAAAGAATCCTGCAACACAGAAATATTTAGTGAAGCCAGAACAAGTAGTACTTACCAGTGGTTGTGTACCAGGGCAATGATGTAGTGGATTGCAGAGTTTCTGAGGAAGAAAACACAAGCATAACTAAGAATATCTGGTAATTTCTCATGAGAATGGAGAAATGCACACCCCTTTTAGCAAAACATGGAGGCACGAGATCTCTTCAGTGAAACAACTGTAAGAATTTTTTCAAGCTACCTCCAATCAGTATTTCCCTGAACAGACGACATTGGCATCTATAGAATGACCACAGTTATGAGAGAGTCATCGTGAATAAGAATAGTATTATTGACTGTCTCCTGGGAAATGACTTATTTAGATGCTTGGCAGAAAGGATAACCGAGTTCTGAGGGTACGGGATGCAAGAGCAAGACTGTGTAATGGCCCTGTGTAGTTCAACACATGTGCTGAAAAATATTTATTGCCCGTACCACATTTGAAATTTGCCCTTTCTATTGCTATTCAATTTTCTCATTTCCATTCATGTGTCAATTACACTATAAAACCATAGGTCAATGATGTAGTGGATCCTGGTGCTCCTATGGAAAGAGAACAAAAGCACAACTAAAGACCTCTGGTGACTTTACACAGGAATGGTAATATACTTGTCCATTCTGCCAAACTCCAAATCCCCACACCTAAACATGGGAAGATTGGAGCTCTTCAGTGAAATAGCTGGTAAAATTTCTTTAACTTGGGCAAAACAACATGTCCTCTCCAATCTTATTTGTGGAACAATTGAAATGTTTCAGCTGAAACCTGCCAAAATACACCAGTCTCTGGCACAAATGAATTTCAGCCTTAATGGTTGAATTTTGTTAAAGTAAGAAGCATCTAAAATTTGGGTTTTATCAAGGAAAGTCTTAGGCCACCTCAGCTACAAGTGGTACTGCATGCTCTGCCTATAATACATTTCAGCAGTGATCTTGACATGCATTTCAGCATATTCAAATGTTATTTGATCATGGATAACATGCAAGTGATGGGTTACCTAGGGATTGAGATGTGTATCCAGCAGCTACGAAGAACAAACATGAGAAATTAAAATTTAATTTATTAACGTCTTGGTGCTGGGCAAAAACATATTGGATATATTTATTCTATGCAACCACAATCACATTCACCAGAGAAATAACTGACTGACTACTTGAAGCATGGAACTAAAGTTGGAGGATGTAGGAAGGATTCGGTGCCACAAACTGTATTTCAGATTCTGTAATCTCAGATGTTCAAACACATCTTAGACATGGCGTTTTTCATGCCAATCATTCACCTGCAAGAAACCAGCAAACTCTGGCTACTTACCTGAACAGATGACACCAGCATCCTCAGAATGACCACAGTTATGATTGAGCCATCCTGCATGAGGGCAGTCCCACAGACTGTTTTCCCATCCTCTGCAGTTTACATTATCCAGGACAATATTTCCTGAGCCTTGACCAAAATAGGCACTGCCCTTTGCTTCAACACCATATCCACATCCAAGCTGCCTGCACACAACATTTGCGTCATTGAGATCCCAAGAATCATCACACACTGTCCCCCAGGATCCTTTATAATAGACTTCCACACGACCTTCACATCTGTTGGATGAATTCACCAGTCTCAAGGCCAGCCCTAAAACAGATGCAAAACAATGAGTAGTAGTACACAAGCTGTAGTTTTCCTCTTTTTCATAATGTGGAGGCAACTGAGATGTATTTGATGCAGGCACAGAACAATAATTTTACTGCTGGGAGTAACTGTGACCAAATCACACATTTGGATTAACATTAAAAACACGTTTGAAAACATCTCTCACGTGTGTACATAAGTTGTCATCTAAACTACCTGTTATGTCTCAAGGAAAAAACCATGATGTCATCATGGGTTGTTCTTTGAAAACTTGTGTTCAATGTGCAATGGCAGTCAGAAAAAATAAAAATATGTTAGCACACATGACGGAGGGCATAGAAAATATCCCAATGCTGCAATAAAATCCATGTCATAGCCACATTGTGAAATGGGTTCTAATTCAGGTCATGACATTTCTAAAAGGATGTATAAGAAAAAGTACAGAGAGTATGATAAATTAATTAGAGTTATAAGAGATTTTCCTGATCAGGAGAAATTACAAAGACAGAGACTGTTCAACTTCCAAAAAAAGACCACTTAGGAGACGTAGGATAGAGGTCCATAAAAACCATGAAGGATACGAAGAAAGTGAGTACAGAGATGTTATTTAAGCCTTCACATAACACAAAACTGGGGAGTTTTCTGCTATCATGGATGCTTCCCGTAGTGCTCTTTGCTGGGCTTCATGAATGAATAGCAGACTTTGGGGTCCAGCACTCTGAACCACTTTTCCCACACCTGAAATTCATTTCACCTTTCCAAGGTTTCAATTTCATTGCAATCAAAATTTAATTCACAGGTCAGCATCGTTTTCCAAGCCAGAACACAGAAAGACGTTAGCTAACTACATACCACTGTCAATTAAAATATGTAGAAATGTAAATATAATATATGTAAACAGACTCACAATCGCCCGCATTACCAACTGAAAAAAAAAAGAAAACACAACACACATTCTATCAGTACGACATACTTAGGCTTTTAGAAACCTTTTTTATTTTCCCTTTTAACTGCAGTAACTTTTTTCAGAAAATGTAAATTTTTTGAACATCCAATGTTGTCTGGTATTAGAAAGAGGACTAGAAAAAACTGCATACAGAAACTGAACTGTGTGGGCCACAGAATCGCACTCATGATGCTCCCTGACAACGGGCAGGTTGTTCTTTGACTACATTATCTTCCAAGAAAAACGGCTGCTTCCAGATTGGCTGGAGATTATCAG